GTCTGCCCCAGGCACTGTTTTGTAAATAATTCATTAGATTGTACACAAGGGGCCACTTAGCACACAGTCCTATGGGAGTTGGCTGGAGGCTGGCTGGGGGCCGGCTGGATTTTTTTATTTTTTCTGGCTAGGGAGGCCCTGGCTGTAAAGTGACTAAACCAGGTTTTCAGCATGTACAGGGGTAGGATATGATAAATAGTCGTTGCATTTGGACGGAAAAAAAATTATACATTAATTAGCTACAGTGGACTCGCCAAAAGAGGCCACTCACTCTGCGAAGGGTTCCAGGAAAACAAAGAATTTTTAACTTCCTAAGGCATGCAGTGCCAGTGTTTGCATTGAGGTGTGATATTTTTCAAGTGTAATGCTGCATGCAGTAAGGGCGCTCCACCAATTGTTCTGGAATTCTTTTAGCTGAACATTATTTTTGGATGAGTACGTTACTCTCTGACTGCCAGGTGGACCATTGTATGTAAGGGTGCAAGATCGGCAGTTTTTAGACATGCCTGCGCTCGAAGAACATACCTTTTAACAAAAAAAAGCACTAACTCTTTTCAACTTCCATTAAACCAAATGCAGACAGAATAACTTGTTTATATATATGTTAGATACTGCGGTAGGAAAAAGTTTATATGTTCCATATGTTTGATAACTCAAACCATAGTGGATAAAAAATTTGACTTTAACCCTAACAGTCCTCAGTCCTCCAACAGGCGAAGGATTGAGGACTGTTAGGGTTAATATCCGGATTTCAAGCCAACGGAAGATCCTGAGTCTTGCTCACACATATGTGTACATGAACAGGAAACAACAGGAAACACTACCAGCCCCCACAGTGGCCATTGGAGACAATTAAGTGGTGGTTTCCTTATATCCAGTGAACAGAAACTCAAATTAATGCATTTATATCCAGGAATTGCAAAGTTACCTCGGGGTTTCAAAGGTGTTTGAGAGCATTTTTTCAGTGACCTTACTAATTTCTTCATTCAGAGAGTGTTAAAACCAAATAAGAATATAGCTCACAAGTAAATATATCAAACAAGGGGTACTTGCATAAGAGTCAAGGGGCAATCAAAGTATTGGCAAATGTATTGGTTTAAGGGTACATTGTTTGCAAAACCACATGGTAGGGGCTTTGATGTGCCCGAGGGAGGCTCCATTGGTACGCTGGAGATAAAATCCTGGCCAACACCTGGGCTGTGTACTGTTCCATTGTGTGAAAAAAAAAACATGTGGGCTGTGGCTTTTTCGCAGTGCTTGGGAAGGGTTTCTATTGTTTAGTGTTGAGTGTGAAAAATGTGAAAGGGGTTTCTTCTGGGTTAGATTGTGTGAGTCAAACTACATGCATGTACAATAGACTCCAGGATAGATGGAAGAGTGTTTGATCAACTGCCAGACCAGTCTCCAAGTCCAGTAGCTGGTCCAGTGTGAAAGGGAATTTTGCTAACGGACTGGCTTACTAGGAGGCCCTTCCTTTACCAGATCTAAATGGTCACTGTACCTTAATGTCTGGCAAGATATTGTTCAAAACTTGTACCAGTCGCATCATCAGATACTCAAGCGCCCTCCAGTAACAGGTTGAAAATGTCAAAAATGCAGTTTAAGTTGATATTTGTTAGCAAAATTTCTTTCCTGTGAAATTGCTCACTTCCTCCACCGTGACATTGGTCTATCTGACACAATTTTCACCAAATAACAAATGCAATCTGCTTGGCACGCTGCAGTTGTATAAAAATGTGAGTTGGAAATTGCATGTATTATGCACATGAACTAGACCAGAGGGTCGATAAGTATACACTGTACATGGCAACATCATGTGATTATGCATTACTTAATTTCCCGAATTGCATGTGCATGTATTTCCCTGGCAGAAGTGAAAGATTCCAAAAATATCCAGTCACAAAACCCTTCAGGGACTTGTTTTTCTATTGCATTTCTCCAACATTAAAAAGCTCAACTTCAGTATTCTCCTTCATTAGAATCATACTTACAACCCAATTGGATTTTCAGTTTGGATTTCATTTCACAAACACTACTTTCTTGTTCTAAAATTAGGTAAAGTGGTGTCAACTTTCTAAGCCACCATGATTTTGCATTGTTTTGTTCGATACTTCCCCTAGTAACCAGCTCAGCATGTCGGTTACTCGGGCCAGGCCCAAGTAAGCGTGAGATGTCACATTGGTGTAAAATTGAATGTAGTCAGGCTTGCATGAGGAAAGTAATCAAACGTGCTGTTATATTTTACTGTCTGTGCATTTGAGAGGGAATTTTTTGTTTACTGGTTTAAAATACACAGTATTCCAGCATTTAGCCATTTGTTTGGTGCAATATTGATTATTGAAATTTCTGATGGAGTATTGAGGGACATACCTAAGGAGGACAATTTTTCCCTGAGATTTGTCAGATTCCTCAAATCCCACCACTTAAATCATTACATTATGTATATTTTATAGTTTTTAATTTTTTTTGGTTAATATTTACTGGTTGTATGATCATGTTCTTTCTTGATTAGATGAAGAATAACATGGCTCAGATTTTCTGCACAATGCATCGTTCTGTTGCCGAGAGTTCTCGTAAAATGCTGTTTGAACTGAAACGCCACAACTATGTCACCCCCACTAACTACTTGGAGCTGGTCACAGGATATAAAGTGTGAGTCTTTAGGACTTTACCTATGAAGGGCAGACTGTTTTTTGTGTTGTTACAGTATGACAAGTTGTCACTTTCATGAAAATGGATACTTATATGGGGAGGAAAAAAAGAAAGAAATCTGAGCATATATCTCCGACAAATGACAATTTACTGCAGACTGAAGCTGTCTACCTAAAATTTTTATCCAATACATTTTTAAGTATATTTTAAAAGGTATCACTCTCCAACCTAATGACTTGAACAGCAACTCTGAGTAATTTGACCTCCACCTCTCTGTGTACATGTATATATGTTTATAAAGATTGCACCTGTAAGATAATTTCATGTGACATGTTATCACATTATTGTGACATTGCAATGAATTTTTAATAACATTTCAATGGTCTTCCATGTACTGGCTTTTAATCTGATGAAATGTGTAGTGCAGTGTTTTGGTTCTTTTATTCCTTGTGTTGTTTGGGGGCTTTTGTTTGTGTCATGACCTGTTTGTAGCTTTAGACTTAAAGTAGCTTGTAGCCTACAAGATTTTATTGGCCAAGGACAAATCACTGTTCATGTAAAGTGCGCAATAGGAAAGGGAAGTATCTTTTTCCACTTTCCATTTTCCTATTTTTTGTATTTTTTATCTTATTCTCAGTCTCTTGTATGAGAAGCGGAAAGAGCTTGGAGATGCTGCAAACAAACTCAAAAATGGTCTCTTCAAAATCGATGACACAAGAGCTAAAGTTGAAGTCATGTCAGTGGAGCTTGAGGATGCAAAGACTAAAGTTGCCCAGTTTCAGAAGCAGTGTGAGGAGTACCTTGTTATCATTGTGCAGCAAAAGAGAGAGGCAGATGAGCAGCAGAAGGTGTGTAATTACTCATAAATGAAGCAGTTGTAAACATGTGACTTTTATTGTGGTAGTTGCTACAACTGTACCCTGAACAAAGCGTATGATTTGTCATTATGCAAGAAACTGCATGAACAGAAAATCCAATTTCGACTTTTAATGTACCCCACCAACAAAGTTGAAGGGGGATTCTGTTTCCACCTTTTCCTTTTGTGGGTA